ATCTGAATAGTGTTCTCCAGGGAGAATGTCAATTCCTGGCTTTCTCAGAAGTTTTCTGGGTATTTGCCATTGATGCCAATGGCAAGAAAATAGACTTATGCAGTGATGTGGAGATATAGTCCACCACCCCCTGAAAAAAATCAACAACACAAATAAAAAGTCATTTTACCCTGTTTCCAAGAGAAAGTGTCCTCTGATTTTAAAATTCAAGTCAATGATATAAACCAAATTTTATGTTAAATACACATATTTTGCACTTAATATTGACATCAAAAAAATTTATAATCCCCATATTATGATAAGTTCTGGGAAGAAACAATATACAGGAAAGATTACACAATACACAGGAAAAAAGCACACACACACACACAGACACACACACAGAAGTGATTAGAAAAGCAATAGAAAAAGAAAAATTTACAGTGCTATCAGAAGAAACACTCGATTCCATTCTGCCTTGAGGACAGTTACCCTTAAGTAACTACTAACATATCTAACATACTAAACATCTGCAAAAAGAGAGAGAGAAAAAGAGAAAGAAAGAGGGAAATGATGTTATGGATCCCCAAAATTGAAGTATTCTATGCAGACCCATTGATCAATCATAGCATCATTAAAAGTAGGACAACCAGGCCGGGCGTGGTGGCTCACGCCTGTAATCCCAGCACTCTGGCAGGTGGCGGCGGGCAGATCACTTGAGGTCAGGAGTTCGACACCAGCCTGGGCAACATGATGAAGCCTTGTCTCCACCAAAAAATAAAAAATTAGCCAGGAGTGGTGGTGCATGACTGTAGTCCCAGCTACTCGGGAGGCTGAGGCAGGAGAACTGCTTGAACCCAGAGGCAGAGGTTTCAGTGAGCCGAGATCATGCCACTGCACTCCAGCCTAGGTGATAGAGTGAGACTCCATCTCAAAAAAAAAAAAAAAAAAGGGGACAACCAGACATGTGTCCCCAGATGTGCTACAATAAGAAGGGCACAGCACCACCTATAAAATGCCTTGCCGTAAAGTCAAGCCTGACCTTGGACTGATACTATAAAAATATAAAAATAATTAAACCTCACCACAAGGAAGCAATCAGCCAAATCTAGCATGCGGGAAATAGAATAAAGCAAATTTTAAAAAAAGACGAAGAAGAAAGGAAGGGAAACTGTTATTGATTTAAAGAGACACAATAGTCAAACACATTGTGTATATGTGGTTTGCTTGGTTTTAAAACTTTTTTAAAACAGAACTAGATTATATTTCAATACACAACTTCTGTATAACCAAAAAATAAAACACCACAGTAAAACGAATGAGAAAAAATATATTTGCAATTCTTGACAAAATGTTAATATCTTTAATTGTAAATGTACTCTTCAGAAATCAGTACTAAGAGACTAACATTACAAGAGAAGTGAAAATAAAAGGAACAGAGGAAAATGCAATAGCACAAATGAGTTGTAAGGCTATATGAAGATAATATGGTTAACATTAATAGCTGAGAAAGAATTTCATTATAAATTACATTATTGATGCTTACATATATTGATATCTGATGTTTGTACAGCTTTAGGAAATGAAGAATTCTCAAATACTGGGGCAAGTTACCCTAATCATGGGGAGTTTACACAAAAATGTAGATTTTTGCATAAATTTGGCCCAGGCAGTTCTCAATCATAGGAATCACTCCAACAAATAGTTGGATACACACCCACACACATACACATACATGTTTACTACATAGAAAATGTGTAAGTAATCTATCATCCCCAAAGAAACTATTTATGTATCAACTGGTTTATAAAATAATAGACTGAGGGGTAGAAATAAAAAGAAAAAAAAAAAGATGCTTAAGTAAAAATACTACATTTCACAAAATTCTGTATCCTTTGAATTCTTATGAAAGATTTTTAATGAATCAGTTTTATATTTACCTTGTTATTAGTGAAAATTATAAATATATGCACTTCATAGTGATGCTTCCAGACATGTAAGGTATAATTTCAACAAACCAATTGTAACGAGATATTTCTAGATGATTGGGTAAAGTGATTATGGGCTGGGTATTAAATGATGTTAAGAAATTTTTGTCAATTTTGATAGGTATGCTAATGAATAGGTAAAAAGAAGAAAAGAAATTCTTACCAATTGAGCAGGTTATTTCAACCTCTACACTTTTGACTTTGGACAAGGTAATTATGTGCAGTGGATCTGTGCCACTGTGGGATACTTAACAGCATTCTTGGCCTGTACCTCCTAGATGCCATGTTAACACCATTCCCTACCAAACTGCAACAACCATTGCTGTCTCCAGATACTGGCAAGTGTCGACTGGTTAAGAATCACTGAGTTAGAAATGCATAGAGATATGAATGAAAGAACATAATAGTTGGGATTTTATTTTAAATACTCTAGCCAAAAAAGGCATGGGGGTGCTAGTTGATAGGTGAAACTTTAATAGTATAACTTTCATTTTAGTTGAAGCTGAGTGATGAATGCATAGAGATTCATAATACTAATCTGTCTACTTTTGTGTCTGACTTTTTTTTTTTTTGAGATGGAGTTTCGCTCTTTTTGCCCAGGCTGGAGTACAATGGCGTGACCTCAGCTCGCTGCAACGTCCACCTCCCAGGTTCAAGGGATTCCTGCCTCAGCCTCTCTAGTAGCTGGGACTACAGGTGCCTGCTGCCACGCCTGGCTAATTTTTTGTATTTTTAGTAGAGACGGGGTTTCACCACTTTGGTCAGGCTGCTCTCAAACTCCTGACCTCAGATGATCCACCAGCCTTGGCCTCCCAAAGTGCTGAGGTTACAGGTGTGAGCCACTGTGCCCAGCCCTGTTTGATTTTTTAAAAGTCAATCTGCTAATAAAGCCTAACACAGGTTTGCCAGTAGGTTTTCCTTTGAATGCTCCCTTTCAGAGTTGCCTCACTGTTTTCTGCAAAAACTCCTCACAGACATGTTTCCCAGCTCCTGAAGTAACACTGTCAGAATTCCTACCTGACATCATAGGAACAGGCTCAGCCTGTTTCACTGCTTCATCAATCCATGTTGCTAAAGCCCAGAAGCAGAAAATATTAACTAGAGGCAGAGCTGGCATTAAAGATAAATGTAATGGGTACCTAGAAGTTCCCCCAAACCCTCACTGACACTACTGCTAACAAAGAAAAACACCTTCTCTTGTTGCCTTATCCTCACTCTCAAAGAGATTCATGTATTGGATGGAAAAATAAACCCTGAAAATTCCTTCTAATGTAAAGATTGCATAAAACTATTCCACCATTATAATCCCATCCCTTTCTCTTTTAGTTTAAATCCCTGTGAAAATGCCAAGGAGTAGAAAGGGTAGACACTGATATTCAGAATGTAGAGAACAGATGAGCAGAGGAAATGTGATGGGGCACAGGGAGAGGCCTGGAGGATTCCCACTCCTGAGGCATGCAGGAGGGAGTTGTTCTCTAGATGAGTTCTAGGCGCTTGGGTGGATATTTTGTGGTCATTTTCTTCATGCTCTACAATGAGAAGAGTGGCAAACAAAAAGTAAAACTGTTGGGAAATTTTTCAGCCATTCCAAATTATAACTGAAGAGTTCACTCCAACGCATAAAGTCATCAAACTGAAGTGGAGGAAAAGGAGTTGCTAGATGTGGTTATGAAGAGAGTGTGAAACGCAGTGTGTTGGAATGATGCTTACAATTTAGTTGAAGGAAGAAAACTTGCATGCCTGGGTGAAGAAATTAATCATGAGGCCTGGATGCCACTAGCTGTACATAGGGAAGAGCTGATAGCCTGAGAGTTGCTCTTAGCAGGATGAGAAAGCAAAATGGCTGAGGGAGAAGTGGAAGTCTTCTGCAGTGGAGAAGAATTTTCTTCTGCAGTGGAGAAGAAATTTCACCCAAACCTTCAAAGGTGAGTAGGGTTTGAATGAGCTAAGACTTTTCACAGGAGAGAAACTGTGAGAGCAAAAGTGTTCAACAGATGTTTATGAAGTATCAACTACGCAGTAGGTACTGTGTTAAGGTTGACATTGTGCAAAGATGCAGAAGCTGATGCCCTAACATTTCAAAGGCTTACTGCTTAGGATAGAATAAGCAGAGTCGTTTTCAAAAGTGTGGAGACAGCAGTGATTGGAGATGGGGATCTGTATGAGTCAGGGTTCTCCAGAGAAACAGAACCAGTAGAGTGTGTGTCTCTGTGTGTGTGTGTGTCTGTGTGTGTGTGTGTGTGTGTCCGCACATGCCTGCATCTGGGGGCTGGCAGACTGGAGGCCCAAGGAAGAGATGCAGCTCAAGTCCAAAGACAGTCTGGAGGCAGACTTTCTTCTTCCACAAGAGACCTCAGTCTTTTCTCTTAAGGCCTTACACAGATTACATGAGGCCCACCCACATTACAGAGGGCAATCTGCTCTACTCAAAGTCTACTGATTTAAATGTTAATATCTTTTTAAAACAAAAAAAAATAACAAAAAATAAAAAATAAAAATAAAAAACCTTTACAGTGAGAGGTAAACTGAAGTTTTACCAAACATCTGGACACCATGGCCTGGCCATGCTGACGCATAAAAGTAGCCATCACAGGATGGGATGTGTGTAAGGAACATGAGTCATTGGTTGGGTGTTATGAAAGCAAGAGCAGGATGATCTTGAGCACTTAACCACCAGCATACTGTAGAAAGAACAGGCTATGCGAATATCTCATAGTTTGGGGACACAACATTACCCTGTTATCTTTATTCTTAAGAAAAACAATAGCGACTACCCCACATCACACAGCAATTACTGTGTGGTTGGCACTTCTCTCCCAGGAAATCATCCAGCACTCTGATGATGATGCCCAATTACCACGCCCTAATCTGAAAAGCGGAAGGCCCAAGTTTCTAACTTTCTTATTGCTACAGTCAGACAGCACCAGGTGCACCCAGGAGCTATTTTGCATTTCAAAAGGCCTGGATGAATATAAAAGATATTGAGCTGTCAGCTTTGAAGTTCTTGAAAGCAATTCGTATTTTCTGTTTTAGGTCGAAATAAGTAATGACATTGAACCAGAAATGCGGCTGCTGAACTTGACTTAGGGAGCAAAGGACCATTGACTGCGCACCTCGGTGGATCCGACCCGCCTCACGTTCCTTCCAGAGGCTGGACTGTGCTTCCTGGCTTTCCCACGAATCATGGAGTTCTTTGGTCACAGCCTTTGTATTATTAGCATTGTTCTCTAGATGAGTTCTAGGTGCTTCGGTGGGTAATTTTTTAGTTGTTTCCTTCTTATACGAACACTTGTAAATTGTAAAAAAAAAAAAAAGAAAAAACAGAATTTGGTTTTAAATTTTTAACAATATTTAATGTGAGGCATGCAAAATGAAAAATCAAATCTGTGAAAACCTTCTACAGTCAATTCTAAGAGAAATCTCAGTGTGTGCTGTGGAGATACTAAGTCAGCACTGCTGACTGTTGAAGTTATTCTAGGCCTGATGAATTTGTTTTAGCAGACATTACCTTTGGTTATCAGCCACCAAAGTAGACCCTGTGACAGCTGATAAATGGGTACAAATAATAGATTCAGCTTTTGAATTGAATATGGGTAATTTTTTCGATGCCATAAAACAAAACATGGAATCCTCCTTTGTTCTTGACGTCTTAAAACCCAGAACAATATTATGGCAATATAAATTTTCAGACTTGTGCATATCTTGTTTTTCCTGATATACACACACACACACACACACACATATATATATACACATATTGTGGGCACATGGAAGAATAAAAGGATTAGTAGAGCCCCTTTCCCCTTTGGAGGGAATATGGGTATCTCTGAGGTCCATATTTTCTACTCATTATTCCATTCCTGACACTGCTGTCAGACCTAAACATACAGCTCATACAGCTTGGGGGACAGAAATCACAAACATAGACCTGCAGTCAGGAACTTTGCTCTTAGGGTATTCAAAAGAAGCCTGAAACTACTGTGACATTCTTTATAAATACTTCTACAGGAGAATTCACGTTTGAGCAACATCAGCTTTTCTTTCTCCTACTCCTTCCCAAAAATGAAGAAAATGATATGGGAAGCAATTATTGGTGGAAAAAAGAAGTGTCTTGAAAATGCATCACAGTTGTGTTTTTTAACTGGCACAAAATTTACATATGGTAAAATGCACAAATATTAATGGTATGATTTGTTTAGTTTTGAAAAATGTACATATCCATGTAACCAAGGCCTCAATCAAAATGCGGAACATTTCCGTCACTTTAGAAAATTCCCTTATGCCCTCTTTCAGGCAATGCCTTCATTCTCATAGACAACCACTGTACTAATTTTCGTCATCACTGATAATTTGGTCTGTTCTAAATATAAAATATATACTCTTTTCACATCACTTTTGCCCACACTTCTCAATCACTATTTTTTATATGAAAATAAGTTTTGCTCACTTCATGTAACAACCACAGTGAAGCTCCCTGTAGGCCAGAAAGTTGTGAATATGTGGTTGTTAACTCAGCCCGTGCATCTCTAAGAAGTCAGTCTATTAACCACCTAAAACTGTTACAAATGTTTGTATGTGTGTAAAAGTCTTCTTTTCTTCTTGTTCTTCTTTTGGAGCCTGTAGATTTCATGAGACTCTGTTAAGAATCAGAGTTTAATGTGACAAAATTTGCCTTCATTCCTCCAAGCTCATCACAACCACGGTGAGCCATTTGGAGACCTAATTTACTCACTAGCCTCCAGATTACACCCCTTTAATCCACTGGTACCCACAAACTCCCATCACTTTTTATTCCACTTAATACATCCAAAGTCAAATAAAGAAAAGCTGGCAGGGACTTTGAAGATGGTGGAATCCAAGCCACTATTCTGCAGATGAGGGGGCTGAAGCCTAAGGGATTTGGTGAACTTGTCCAGAGCCTGTATCTGTACACAGTGTCAAGAGCCATAGCCAGTGGACAGAGAACATGGGAGCAAAAGTTGGGGTTTGGGTCCCATCTACCACCGTGTTCTTGGACAGTGTTTGACATCTCTGCACTACAGTTTTCCTCATCTATGAAATGGAACTGTGATCCCTACCTCCCAAAGGTGAGGTGAGAATTTAATGAAAAATGTAAAAAAAAAAAAAAAAAATCTCAGTACACGGTGAAGCACTCCACAATTAAAGGAGGTGATTATTATTAATAATGTCAAAACACTCCCCTGTACCCTGTCTGGAGCTCTTGCTTTCCACTCAAGCACTATGAAGAGCCGACGGAAACAACAAACTCTGTTTTTTTAAAAAGCAGCTGGGAAAATGTTGCCCAAGTTTAAATGATTGGAAATAAACTAAAAAAATACTTTAATTTAAAAGTAACTTTTATATTCAAATTCCAAAACTAATGCCAATAATTATTGTTAGTGTTGTTACGATTATTGAAAAAGCTGATAAAACATCAAAACTGTAGAGGATCAGTAAAACAGAAGGATAAAGTGAGTATTGAAATATTTTAAACTATCACTTAATTACGCCCACACATACACATGCAAGTAAAACATGGTTAACATTTCACAAAATAGAACCATACTAAATTTTGTTTCTATGTTATCTTCACATGAATTTGTACATACTTCTGGTAGGCATTGCAGAATCTGAACTTTGTCTAAGTGCAGAAAACAGCTTTGAGGAGAAAATCCTTACATTAGTGATTTGTCTATTAATATGCAATATAGGCAGCTACTTAATATGGTATATATGTTTTCATTTTTAATCTTTCTTGACTTAAATATGAAGTTATAACTGTTTCAATCCCCAACCTCAGCAGTCCATAAAGATTGTCCTAACATTCTGGATATTTGCCACTCATCAGAAACAAGTTAGATTGATCTGCCACCCCCTCTTCTCTCTTTTCTTCTCCCTGCCTCTCATCTTCCTGGCTACTCTTTGGGGGCTATGCTTCTGTAAGACAAAGGGAAAAATAGAAGTGCAGAGTTGTACAGTAATACTTGGCAATTATCCATTAATCTGGGTGATTCCAATGCAGTACTGTCACAGTTACTGTTCCATAGAAATGAGCATTTGCAGTTCTTGCTTTTGCCTCCAGTCTTAGAGAATGCACTCTGCATTGTGCATATCCATTAGGGTTTTCAGCAAAGACGTGGTCACTACACGCACTGTGTGTTCTTGCCAAACCTCAGCTTCTCCATATGCAATTGTGTGTCTGGTCAGAGTAAGGGAAAATGAATGCACCCCTTAGCTTGTATTCATTGGTCAGAATCTTAACTATCTTAAGAGATGGTGTAGTTCTAGATTCAATAGCTCTCCTCAGAAGTGGCCCTGGCAAAACTGAAGATAGGACATCCACTGCTCTTTAGCCTCTAGTGCTGACTGGAATGGAGAGGTGAACATTTAAAGCCAGTGTTTTTCCTCTTGGAGCCACCTTAGCACTGAGTCTTATAAACCTTGGCCAGCCCTTCCCCAGGCTGTGCCTTCTATCTTCTGTGAATGATGCATCTTTTCTTAAGTGTCTTCTGCTGACCTCATGCAGCACCGCAGGAAGTTGGGATGCTTTCCAGCTTACTTTTTCTTTATTTGAGCTTCTGGTCATGTTTCAAAGCCAGCAAAATCTAAGCAAGGGAGTTATAGGGAGGATTAGAGAATTACCCAAAGGACACAAAATGTCTTGGGGTGTGGAACAGCACACATCAGAGAAATCTCAAACATCTCTTAGGAAAATCCCTAAATGTGTATATCCCCAAGTATCTTAGCCTTCCACCTGCCACATAAAGCGAGGGTATGTGTCCCTCAAATGAAAAAAAATGAAAATACACTTTCTTACCACTTCAAATCTGGGAGGTGGTTGGCTCATTTGTTTTGAAGACAACTCGACAATTTGCCCTAGCAAAATATTGATTTCTTTGATTTTTCCTTCAGAAAAATAAGCCCTACAATTCCTATAGACCTAAATAAGGGAGGCAGCCAGCTTCAAGAGGCTGGCTCTAACAAAATATATGCCAAGGCTGCCATCTGTCTCACTTAATGAATGGGAAACTCTGATTGAGAAGAATTTGTCTTCATTAAAACCAACTAAAATGTACATTGCAAATCTGAGGAAAACCATCATGACTCCTTGCTAAATTGAGAAGCAAAAACCAAAATTTCTCTTTTCAATCTTTGCAAATTAAAAAGGAATCTTGCTGAGAATAAACAAATCTTCATTTCTTACTTAATTTAAAAACGAATGGTGTCCCCAAATGTGGTCTATTCTGGCTAATTATTTTTTAAGCAAATTCTCACTTATTCTTTCTGAGTCACTTTACTATGTAACTAGGATAAATTTCATAGTTGATTAGAATGCAAATGTTCTAACTTGACATTTTTGCCCAAGATACATTCTTTCCAGGTATAGCTGAATTAAGTAGGAAAAATATAAATAATTGCTCTTTTAAAACTATAGCAACTTGAATGCCTGGGTTTTACTTCTATCTAATTTAAAAGTTTTCTGTAACATTTGTTTGATAGAAGATCTGTTGAAGTGTCTAAGACCCATGTTGAAATATTTGTGATAAACAGGCCCACAAATGAAGGATATTATGCCCAAAAGTGAACTGACAGAGGAAAGTACTCCTCATATAACTACATAGTGAGCAATTTAGAAAGGGAACAGATGACGAGACACAGTGGCCCATGCCTATAATTCCAAAGCTTTGGGAAGTTGAGGTGAGAGGATCACTTGAGGCCAGGAGTTCAAGACCAGCTTGGGCAAAATAGTGAGACCCTATCTCTACAAAAACAAACAAACAAACAACAGCAACAATAAATACCTAAAAAAACTTTAAATTAGACAAGTGTGGTGGCACGTACCTATGATCCCAGCCACTTTAGGGACTGAGGGAAGAAGATTACTTGAGCCCAGGAATTAGAGGCTGCAGTGAGTGCACTACTACACTCCAGCCTAGGCAATAGAGCAAGAGCCTGTCTCTAAAAAGAGAGAGAGAGAGAAGAAATAGATACGTTTTAATTATTAGAAGAATGTATTTATCAATAAAGAATTCTCAAAAAAATGGAATTATCAAAAAATTCTAAAGTTATAGGTAGTGTCTCTGTTTCATCTTAAAGAGTTTAGCTTCTTATTGAAGACTAAAAGAAAAAGGCCACTTCTTGAAGGTGGATACAGCTTCTTAAATATTGGTATTTGTGGAAAAATGTGGTGACAAGCAAAAAAATGAATCATCTTTCTTGAACTTGCATTCATACAAAGGGTAAGAATCATGTTAAATGCTAAACATTTTTAAAAACTGAAATATTTAAATAATCCAAAATATGTTGTAGTTTAAACTTGATAGCTAAGTTAAGTAAAAAGAAGAAAAGAATAGAAGGTAGAAAGGAAGGGAGAGGGAAATGGAGAGAAGGTGAGGAAGAGAAAGAGAAAGAAAGGAGACAAGGAAGACAAGGAGACAGGAAGGAAGAATCCAAAGCTGAAAGTCACCTAACTGGGATTTGAACAATGTCAATTCTTAACTCAGAATTTTGTTCTTGTTTCTTTGATTGACTAAAAACATTGAATCATTTTCCATGTAAGGCATGTGTTTCCTTTCCTCTTCAGAGTTATTAAGAAACGGTTTGAAGAAACCAATAATCTATCCATTTCTTCTCATAGAATTTGCTTTGGCAGACAACTTAGTCTATGTTAGTTAGGATTAGGCTTACCTACAAGTGACAGAAAATGAAAAATGACAATGGATTAAATAAGATAGAGGTATATTTCTCTTTTTATTTCAAAATTCTGGAGAGAGTCAGCAAAGAGCTGGATGTGATTTCCCTAGAGACAAGGACCGAGACTCCTCTCTTGTTGCTTCATCCTCTGTGGCCACCATTTTCAAGACCATAACATGACTCAAAATGGCTGCTGAAGCGTCAGCCATTGGTTTTGTATTCTGACCTTGGAGGTGGAAAAGGAACAAAAGGAGTGTTTCTTTCCTTTAAGGATATGCCTCAGAAGTACACACACTACTTCTGCTTACATCTCATTAGCCAAAACTTGGTCCACCCCCAACTTTGCTGCAAAGAAAACTGGGTATTATAGTCTTTATTCTTAATGACTTTATGCTTAACTAAAAATTAAGAGCTTTGCTGGACATGGTGGCTTATGCCTGTAATTCCAGCAATCTGAAAGGCCAAGGCATGCAGATCACTTGAACTCACAAGTTCGAGACCAACGTGAGCAATATGGCAAAACCCCATATCTATAAAAAATACAAAAATTAGCCAGGTGTGGTGGTGAGTGCTTGTAGTCCCTGCTACTTGGGAGGCTGAAATGGGAGGATTGTTTGAACCTGTCAGACGGAGGTTGCAGTTAGCCAAGATCATGCCAATGCACTCCAGCTTGGGAGATGGAGCCAAACCTTGTCTCAAAAAACAAAGGCGGGGGGGGCTTCCTTTTTTAGTAAGAAGGAAAAATATTTATAAAATAATACTTAGCAGTTTCAATCACACAGTTCAAACTAATTGACACTTCTTGGAATAGTGTTTTCATTTATAGTACTTTAATTATAACACATTCCAGAAAAATGTACATATATTCTTCAGTACTGTGAGAAATTTAATGATCGAGTCTGAGAAATGAGAATTTCTGCCTCATCTTGTTTCCTTATCTTGTCTTTGTGGTTAGAAAGAAGTGAAAATAAATTGATGGCACTACATCCTTCTATGTTTCCCATAATTTTGCAGGCAGGTTTAGCTATTCTTCTCTAGAATTGAATTTAAAATTCTAGAGCCAGTCTAACATTTTGCTTGGTCCTCATTATCCTGCCACAATAAATTAATTCTTCTATGGTTGTAACACTTAGCTATTTTATTTTGGTAGGACCTTCTCTTCTGAATTGATTAGTAGTGTTATTATTTTCTTGTTATTCAGTTTAACAAGTACATAGTCAACATCAGTGCTTAGGAAGTCAGGGGTAGGAGAGAAAAATAAGAAGTATATAATCTTTTCTCTTATTTTCTCTCAGTAAAAGTTAGACCTATTTTTCCCTTCATCTATTTTTCTTCAGGAACATGATACTGGCTGAAGTGGAATGATTATTCAAATTGTCCAAAAAATATGCAAGTGAGGGAATTTAGAAAAGTTTGTAATTGTGTATATATATATATA